CGAGCGGGCGGAGAGGCTCCGGGGGGCAGTGAGTGAGGAGAAAAGGCACACTGCTCGCACACATGGCGGACTTCGTGGTCCCCCGGCACAGCGCGGTGATGGAGCGCCTCCGCCGGAGGATAGAGCTGTGCCGGCGGCACCACGGCAACTGCGAGTCCCGCTACGATGCGGCGGCTGGGGAGAGGCTGGAACTGGAGCGCCAACACACCTACCAGCTGCACCAGCGCTGCCTGCAGGCCAAGGCCAAGAGAGCCAGCAAGCACAGGCAGCAGCCGCCGGCGGCCAGCGGCACCACAGACACTGCGAGGGGGAGCCAGAGCGGAGCCATGGAGACCGGGGACAGCAACGGGGAGCAGTGCAGGAGCAGCACCCTCATCGCGGTAAGAGAGCCCTGCCATTCCAGAGCTACCACTGGCTGCCCCTTTTATTCCATGAGGAGCACTGCTGCCCCTTTTATTCCTTGAGGAGCACTGGGTGCCCCTTTTATTCCTTGAGGAGCACTGGGTGCCCCTTTTATTCCTTGAGGAGCACTGGGTGCCCCTTTTATTCCTTGAGGAGCACTGGGTGCCCCTTTTATTCCTTGAGGAGCACTGGGTGCCCCTTTTAATTCCTTGAGGAGCACTGGGTGCCCCTTTTTTATTCCTTGAGGAGCACTGGGTGCCCCTTTTTATTCCTTGAGGAGCACTGGGTGCCCCTTTTTATTCCTTGAGGGGCACTGGGTGCCCCTTTTTATTCCTTGAGGGGCACTGGGTGCCCCTTTTTATTCCTTGAGGGGCACTGGGTGCCCCTTTTTATTCCCTGAGGGGCACTGGGTGCCCCTTTTTATTCCCTGAGGGGCACTGGGTGCCCCTTTTTATTCCCTGAGGGGCACTGGGTGCCCCTTTTTATTCCCTGAGGGGCACTGGGTGCCCCTTTTTATTCCCTGAGGGGCACTGGGTGCCCCTTTTTATTCCCTGAGGGGCACTGGGTGCCCCTTTTTATTCCCTGAGGGGCACTGGGTGCCCCTTTTTATTCCCTGAGGGGCACTGGGTGCCCCTTTTTATTCCCTGAGGGGCACTGGGTGCCCCTTTTTATTCCCTGAGGGGCACTGGGTGCCCCTTTTTATTCCCTGAGCGGCACTGGGTGCCCCTTTTTTATTCCCTGAGCGGCACTGGAAGCTCTGTCATTACGTGGGTGGTGCTGGGTACCCTGGCACTCCGCGGACGGCGAAGGTTACCCTGGCACAACTAAGATGGTGCTGGGTTGTTACAACTTTTTCAGCACTCTGTCTGGTCGGAGCTGCCGGCTGTTGCTGGTTCCCAAGGACAGGCCGAGGAGGCTCCTCATGATGCAAGTAGAATTTATTTAGCAACATGGAAGGATTCACTTTCCGTCCACTAACCTCTCTGGGATGATTTTCTACCTGGAGTCCAGTTATAGGAATGGTTTTCTAAGTTACTCTGGGTAGACTCCCCACCAGCAGCCTCCTTTTATACATTCACTTGCACTTAACCATTTCCTGTGTCGGTTAAGTTCTACACTGGGGGTAGTGGTTACCTGTAGTCAAGTCTTGGCAGAGGTGGTACAGCTGTTTCCTCAGTTGCCAGGTCCTGGTGGTTTCTGGGGACAGTCTTGGGTTTTTAGAGCATTTGTACCGCAGAGATGTCAAAATGCACTTTGAAAAAAAATCAGTGCAACCTCCTAGAATAGTTCCATTTTATAGGTTTATTTGTCAGGTTCCCTGTAGACCTCCATTTTTATCCTGTCAGTTGAAGAGGCAGTGGGTTTTCCTCAGTATTACCCTCTGTATAGTTGCCAACCGAGACTAGCAGCATCATTGTGACTGCAGAGAGTTTGCAGACAGTTGTATGCAACTGTGTCAGTAGCAGGGGGTTCAGCAGGGTCAGCCTGGCTATAGTTGGCAAGGCAGACCCTCCACAATCGCCATTAGAATGCATGTTCCCTTCTGTCTGTGACTGCAGTTCCTTTGTAGGAATTACCTGGTGCCAGCTTCCAGGAGTGGCGGTAAAAAGCTTTCATTCGGGTCATTGTGGGGATAATTGGCAGTAAATCCCATTTTGATTTTGCGGAGAGTAATGGATATTTATAGTCGGCATACAGCAAAGGAAAAAGAAGGATCTTATTAGGGTCACCCTGTGTATAGTTGGCAATACCAATAACCATCTCCCTTTTAAAAAAAAAAATGTTCTTGCACTTAATACCTGTGGCTGCATAGAGTTTATGGGGATTAGTGCATGACTGGCGTTGGCTGCCAGCAGTGTTGGTACTATAGTTTCATTAGGGTCACCCTAAGTGTAGTTAGCAACAGGGCTCTTCATCAAAATCGTCACTTTTATTTTGTGGGCATCACTGCCATGACTTTGTAAACAGGTGACTTAAGTCCGCTCCCAGCAGAGGAGAACGAATTGGTTCATCAGGCACTCTGAGTATAGTTGGCAGCCTAGACTATCAGGAGTCTCCCCTAAAACATGTATTCACTTATGGGGAGTAGTGGGTACATGGAGTCAGCTCCCTGCAGAGATGCTTAATCAGGGTCACTATGGGTATAGCTGGCAACTGAGACCCTCAACAGCCTCTGTGCCGTATGTTCACTTCTTGCATTGAACACCTGTGCCGGCAGTGACTTTGTATAGGTTAGTGAAGGCTTGCCGTCAGATCCTTCCACATGTCAGAAAAGTAGGGATCACTGGCACCTCAAAGCGCCTTTATTGACGCATGCTCAGTATCACATAACGATGATTTTGGGTAATGCATGGTTTCCTTCATCAGGCAAAACTTGAAGGGACCTTGCGTGGCCCTGAAACCTTGTGTTATGCGATACTGAGCTTGCATCAATAAAGGCATATTGATCAGCATACTGGAGTACCAGTGACCTCTTTTCTGATATTGCGGTGACATCAGTTTGTCACTGCTGCATCTACCTATTCCAAAGGGACTAACTGGTCAGGAGTGCGATGGGACTTGGACATTAATCTCCTAGCACATGTGGCACAACTGTTTTGTAAATCGCTCCTGGGGTATAATTGTCAACTGTTGATTCCTAACATCAAGATTTTGAGATATTTCCCTAGATAGGTATGGAAAAAGCAATAGAGTTGTGTTCCCAGAAAAGGTTCTTGTCCTGGCTGTCAACATTAAGTTTACTGGGAGTAGTAGGCACCTGCATGTATTGGGGAATATTTGTCCAATATGGCCATTTACAGCCCAATGTGGGAACATCTGTATGGTTTGCAGGTCCCTCTATGGCCCTGGCAGACACTGCTGGCCGAGTCTGCTGTGTACAAAGTTGATTGACTGGGATAGTTCTTCCTGGCCGATTGCTGGTTTCTTTAGAAAACTGACACTGGCATTCATCTCTCCTCTATAGGCACAACCATGCAAACTTTCATGTGTAGAAGCATCTTTGCTTAGATCGCTGGACGAGGTTGTGGATGCACGAATAGGTGCGATCTGTAGCCAGCTGTAGTTGCCAACTGAGATCAAAATAGATAATGCTGGATGTCTTCCAGCCCTGATATGAGACGGGCATCTGACTTGCTGTAGCTCCTAATGAACACTGTGACAAGCTAACAGTGTGCACTGAAGTCAGAGTAGTTTGGGTAAAGGATAGGAGTAGGGCTGCAGCTAACAATTAGTTGACCAATTTATTTTTTCAATTAATTGAATAATTGATTGTATTTAAAAATAATTGTCCCTCTCACTAATCGATAATGAGAATCGTTGCCAACTATTCTCTATCGATTATAATCGATTAGTTGTTGCAGCCCTAGATAGGAGCATGTTCAGCTATGCAAGAATAAAGGTAAAGGCAGACTTCAGCTTGAAGATTTAAAGCTGAACCTTGGAGAATAAAAATGTGTACCCTTGCATCGGTTCTCCCTTCACCCTGCAAGGGTTTACAGCTGCTTTTGCCATGTGGACAGTAAGTTAAGCTTGCCATTCACTGCTCTGTTTTTTTTCTTTCAGCCCGCAGCTGTGAGCGCGTTGATATTGAGGAATTACCACTGTTTCTTTTGTATTCTGACAGCAGCCGCCGGCCGCTACCAGCATACCTGAACAGAGCTGGCAGCTCATTGGCTGCCGGCTCTGTTCGTACAAAGATTTTCTGACTTTTCAGCTGACCAGGGGATGCCAGCCCAAAGGGTATCGAAGGTGGTACCCACTGTGCACATTGCGGCCGGTTCTTGAAGAAGCGGCTTGTTTTTCGCACTGTGTGATATACTTGCTGCCTTCTTTGCTCCTCTTGCAGCCAGTGCTCTTCTTTCCTGTTCAAAACACTTTAATGTAGGTGGGCCCTCAGCCTCGTCCTGTACAATGCTGGAATGCTGATCCTGCATTATACAGGATGATGTCGGGCAGTAGCTCCGGGGGACTGGTTGGCAGTGTGGAGGAAGCCTACAGGAATAAAGTAAATATATCCCATTTATTCATCTTCCCCATAGACAGAATGAGAAGTTTCCCTTACATGTGGAGGGAGCCCATTGCACAGGTTAATATTTTCCCTGTAATTCAGCTTTACGTTTCAGTTAGCCAAGGGTTAGGGGCGTTTATTGGCCTTTTTTTTTTATTACTTTGTCACTAAAATACCCCATACCAAGAACTGTGCTGGCAATGAAAACAAATCTAGACTGTACTAGATCTGCTGAGTAAGTAAAAAAAAAAGTAATTTAATGATGTGTCCTTGCTGATATAGTTACACATTTCCAAGGATAGTTCCAGATTCTGGGATCTTGTCCCTGGAAATTCTCGTGTCTCCTTCATGTCCACAGTAACTTTGCAGATACTACGGTAGTAGAAACCTGGAGGTAGAATGCAACAGGGTGATGACTTTTAAAATCTCAGCCCTCCATTGTCACTTTAGTTATACCTGTGTATCCTCTACAAGGAGTAGTGGATTCTAGGAAGGGTTTGGAGTGACTTATAGAAGTGGTGTGAACCTGTGTTCAAATCCTGCATCCAGTGGTGTTAAGTGTAGATACTTTCTCTGCATGTGAGTCTATGTATGAAGGAACCGCAGGTTTACATTAATGGGCTGCCTGCAGAGTGTTAATACGTCGTCAGTCTGTAGGTGTAGCTGCTTACAGAAACCATTACAACCATCATATACCACTTTCCGCAACACCCTTGTCCTCCTATGTCAGCAGTAACTTCATAGGGATTAGTAATCGAGTTGGCACCAGCAGATCCTGTCATTCGGTTTCTTGGTCACTTCGTGAGCATAGCTGCTGTTGGAGATCCAATGCTGCTGTTCAAATGGTTGAATAAAGCTGCCCATACACTCCGCCTTTTTCTCAAATTGTTTTCCCCATCCACGCTAAATATTTATCATGAGTGGGCTGCCAATGCATTGCGACAACACACACACACACACACACGCGTG